GTCTCTCAGGAGGGTCTCTCAGGGTGTCTCAGGAAGGTCTCTCAGGGCTCCCCTAGTTCTCTCAAAGCTGATTTCTCCCAAGCTTTCAGGCTTACAGAGCCCTTTAAAATGTTGGTCTGGATAATGTGTTTTATTCCACCTACATTTCTGAACATCTCCCTTCCCCCCCTCACCAAAAGTGCTTCTAACAAAGACTAAAAACATAAAAATGAGCAAAACCAGCCAACACATGCACGGAGTCCCAGAGTCCACTCCCTGTATGCAGTGTTTTGTACCCGTGGTCCCCCACCTCCGTCCAGAAGGGCAGGAGGGGCCTTGTCGTGACCCCTCTCTGGGCCAAATCAGCCAGCGAGCACTGGTGACCGTTTTACCAAGCCAAGCATGGCAAGGTCAGCTCTGGGGTCACCAGCACAGATGGCCAGTTTGGCTGGTCCATGCGGGGAGGGAGCTCCTGAGGAGGAGAAGTCATTGTCTAGAGAGGCTAGGCTGGAGGTTCCTGTGCACAGATCCAGAGCTGGAGGGGGCCTGGATCTTCAGGGCCATCTGGCCCAACCCAGAGGGAACTGAGGCCCAGAGAAGGAAGAAGACTTATCCAAGGTCTCCCCTACAAGTAGTCTGATGCAGCCACAACGGGCACTCCCACCACTGCCCCAGTGTTTGACTCGTGCTCCCATTTTAAAGAGGAGGAGACTGAGGCCCGAAAGGGAAAGAGCCAGTCAGGAACCCAGCCCTACCTCACTGCCTCTAGATAGATAGGCAGGGGTCTCCATCTCCACCAGCCTGGGCCTTCCACACCCTCAGACTTCCCCTTTGTCCTCCTCCAGGTTCCAGGACTATAGTCCCCGTGTGTGGGGGGAAGCTGTTCCTGGCGGCGATCGGCGGCCCAGGCCTGTGGTTCCAGGTCCCGTGCTCTCTGGTGCTGAGCCAGAGGTCAGACAACTGCCCGGGGGCTGTGCTCCACCGGACAAAGCTGGCCCCCACTGTCCGCCGTACCCTCCCTACAGCCCGGAGGCTGGGTCAGGCCAGTGGCTGGTCCCCGCCCCTGCTCATGGACAGCCCCGGCCCTTCCCCTCCCTGGATGGTGCTGCCCACGGGGGCTCCCCGGACTGGGGCCAGTGCCCCCTCTTTTCCTATGCTTGCTGGTGAGAGCCAAGGTGTCCCCCCCCCCAGCACAGGGACTCAGGCCTGCTGGCTGCTTCCCTACCAATAGCCCTGGCACCTCCAAGGGGAAGCTGAGGCAGAACCTGGAGAGGGGGGAGAAGAGGCTGGGTCTGGCCCGGCTGAGGCCTCGGTGGCTTTGGCGAGAGGGGCTCTCTCAGTGCATAGGAAACTGGAATTGGGAGAGAGTCTGACAGGCTCAGTCTCAGTCACAGCGGGAGTCCCAGATATTCTGTGCCATCCCTCCCCTGTCTGTCTGCGTCTCCATCAAAGCTCCCTCTTTCCTGGCTCTGCCCCATCTCCCTCCCTTTGCCTCTTCTCCTCTGTTGTTCTCTCTCCCTCTTCTCCCCATCTTCCTCTCCCACCTCTTCCTGTCTTCCGCCCCCTTCCTCCTCTCCTCCTTGGAGGAGATTCAGAGTTTGGGACATCATCCAGGTCCCCCGACACTGCTCTGTCTGTGTGGAGGGGTCTTCTGGATGCCAGGAGTTAGCCTGGGTGGAAATAGCTGCATACCCACTGCCGCCCTCTGCCACTAATTCACAGACACCCAGCACTGGTATGACCCAATCCCTCTCCTTCCTCTGCACCCTGCTCTATCTGTAGCTGATAATGATAATAATAATAATAAACCGAACTGCCTGCTGCTTGATGAATGGGTTCTCTAGGCAGGCCACCTGGAGGTGCCCCCTCCCCAGCCTTCGGAAGCTGTAGGTTTGGAGTCTGGAGCCATCAGGAGGCACAGAGATGGTACGGCCGTTGAAACCCAGAGGGACAGATTACTGAGCCCGGCCTTATCCAGTCCTGCCTCTGGGGGGGAAAAGGTGCCTGGATCGGTGCTGGTTTATGGAGGAGAGACTTTGGAAGAGGTCCCTAGACTCCACTTGGCTACTGTGAGACTCAGGAGCATTGCTACCTTATGAGGGAAGTCAAGGGCACCCTGACTTTGGAATCCCCTGAAAGCCAGTCCTCCCCAAACCATCTTGTATTAGGTAAAAGACAGGGGGTGGGGGCTGGACAGTTCAGTTCAGTAGGAAGAAAAACTTAACAATCAAAAGCATCCTAGAGTAAACCAGGCTGACTCAGGAAACAGTGGGCTACTCAAAATGGTGGCATGGCTGGGGCAGCGAGGTGGCGCAGTGGATAGAGCACCGGACCTGAAGTCAGGAGGACCCGAGTTCAAATCTGGCCTCAGACCAAACACTTGACACGTACTAGCTGTGTGACCCTGGGAAAGTCACTTAACCCCAACTGCCTCACTAAAAAAAAAAAATGGCAGCACAGCACCATCAGTCAAGAATCAATCAACAAACATTAACCGCCTACAACATGTCAGAAAATGATCAGTTACGTGAAGAAGATCCAAAGAAAGGCCAAAGGCCAGTCCCTGCCCTCGAAGAGGGAGGACATGGAAATGCAGAATCCTGGGCTTGGCCACTGAAGAAGGCTGCTGTCATGGCGACCTCTTTGGGGAGCTTGGTGGTGCTGCAGAGGGTCAGAGTTTGAATCCTGCCTCGAATACTCTAGCTGGGGGATCTGGGGCAAGTTTCTCTGCTTAATCAGCCTCAGCTTTCTCCTCTGCCTACCTCCAAGTGC